TTTCCCTCTTAATTATAGTCTGTAACATTGTGCTAAATTTAGTGAGCTCCCCAAGGGCAAGAATCCTATATATCGGAAGAATCCACATCTGCCTCACAAAGATGTTGCAGTGACCCTTGGAATAATGAATGTGAAGATAGAAAGCATGATACCTGGCATCTGATGGATGCTCAGTAGAGATCAGCCAAAGTGAAATAAAGTAGAATTCCTTTTGTTTTCTTCCCTCTGCAGAACTGGGAAGCACGCCTACTGCTGGAGAGGTCATGTGCTGTCAAGTGCCCAGATATTGCCACCCAGCTGGCTGGGACTAAGAAGGTGCAGCAGGAGCTGAGCAGAATGGGTGTACTGGAGATGTTGCTCCCTGGCCAGCCTGAGACTGTGGCCCGCCTCCGTGCCACCTTTGCTGGCCTCTACTCACTGGACATGGTGTGTGAACAGCCTCTTTCTCCTACCACAGGCCTCCCAGGTGGCAGGAACCCAGAACCCAATGTGTTGGGGAAGCTGGACCTGGTAGTGGGCTAGACTTGGGTCAGTGATGCTCTGTGAGAACCCCTAGAGCCCTGGGGGGCAGGGGCTGGAATCCATTGTAAGATCCGTCAGCAAAGGTAGAAATGGGGGTAAGAGGTGGAAAGGGGAAGAAGGAGCTGAAGTAGACAACAAGAATTGGTGAGAATCTTTTTTTTTTTTTTTTTTAATTTTTTTTTTTTTTGGTGAGAATCTTTACGGGCTTTCCAGATCTTCTGTTGTGGAGCCCTGCACTCTTGCACTGGAGAACAAGAGAAAGCTTGTTCTCATTGTACTTGCTGCTTTAGGGGGTTTGTTAAGGGTCACATCCAGATAGTAGCATCTGTTCTGAAGGGGCTATCACTCTTCCCCCTCCTGCTGTTCCTCTGATGCTGCTCTGTACAACCAGCAGGACTGCAGCTCTTGCCTTTGGCCTACAATTGCTGGTGACTGCTTTCTTGCCTCCTGCCAGGGTGAAGAAGGGGACCAGGCCATTGCTGAGGCCATTGTTGCCCCTAGCCAGTTTGTGCTAAAGCCCCAGAGAGAGGGTGGAGGTAGGTGGTGGTTTTGCCTTTGTAAGGCTGTTCAGTGGAAGGGGGCTAGCAGGCTGTTACCAACGCTGATTGGCACTTGCTACGGGCATAGTCCCAGGCTCAGGGGACACAGGAGGAACTGACACAGGCCATCATCTTGGACAATGTCCCAGGAGACCCTGTGATCAAGTGCTGTTGAATGCATAGGAACCTGATTAATCATTAACTGGAGGGTTGGACAAGTTTAGTCTGAAGTGCCTGTGACTAGATTGTGGGAAAGTGGGTAGAGCAAAATAGAAGGTGGGATATTTTACTGCATGTTTGAACTCCTTGAGAGCAGGGTCATATCTGCCTCACAGACCCAGAGGAGATGAGTTTTGATGTTGGTCCTAAAGGATAAGTAGGAGTTTACCAGGTGGGAAAGGAGGAATAGCATTCCATACAGAAGGAGCAGCCTCAAGTAGAGGCACTAACCAATGGAAGTGTATGTTGGAGATTAACAAGCAACTGGTAAGGCTGGAGTGCAGCATGGGAGATGAGAAGAGACAGGGATTTGGGCTAGAAAAGATGGTTTGGGACATCATTATAAAGGACACTGAAAATATGTAGGAAATTGGATTTTTATCCTGAAGGTACTGAGAATCTGTTAGGTTTTTTTTGTTTTTTGTTTTTTTAGATTTTATTTATTTATTCATGAGAGACACAGAGAGAGGCAGAGACATAGGCAGAGGGAAAAGCAGACTCCCTACGGGGAGCCTGATACAGGACTTGATCCTGGGACCCCGGGATCATGACCTGAGCTGAAGGCAGATGCTCAACCACTGAGCCACCCAGGCATCCCCCATTAGAGAGTTTTAAGGAGGAAAGGGACACACAATTGATTCAGGATCCATGTTTCAGCCATAGTGGAGCTTGTCCTGGGTGAGGGGAGATATTGGTCACAGAGACTATAGAGGAGGCTGGTATAATTGTCCAGAAGAGCAATGCAGAGGCATAGGCTAGGGCTATACAGACTGAAGAGACATGTCTGAGTTAGTGACAGGTCTGGAGAGTGAGTTAAATATGACTCGGGTATCTTTCACTTGATAGGGAGAAGGAAGATCTGGGAGGGGCAGGTTCAAGCAGAAGTAATGAATTCTCTTTGAACATGCTGAGTTTCTTTTGGGAGCCCATGGGATATCCATGCAATATTTAGAATAGCGAGCTTAAGTTAAAGATTTGGGAGTTAACAAGTCATAGAATATAGATAACAAGTCATAGAATATAGAGTTAACAAGTCATAATATAGAGTTAACAAGTCTTAGAATATAGAATAGCGAGCTTAAGTTAAAGATTTGGGAGTTAACAAGTCATAGAATATAGAATATAGTCATAGAATATAGTCAAGAATACTTCTTCTGTAGTCTTAGAAGAGATCTTCCTGGAAAAAAAAAGTTTGTACATGGAGGAGAGAACAAGGGTGGCGGATGGATTCTTTGGGAATCTCAACATTTAAGAGGAGCAGGAGCCAGTCAGGGAGTCTAAGAAGGAAAGCCATAGACAGGAGGAGAACCAGGGCAAGACGGTGTGGTAGAAGGTGTGTTTGTGTGATAAGGGCTGTCCTGTTAAAGTGACATTCCCTCCTTGGGATCCAGGCCTGCCTTGGCTTCCCTGAGCTGGTGTCAGGAACTGAAGCTGCTGACTTGACCACAGAAGTGGGGGCATAGAATGGAGAAGGTAGCCAGAGGGTCTAGGGTGACTGACCAGTGCCATTGCAGGTAACAACTTATACGGGGAAGAGATGGTACAGGCCCTGGAGCGGCTGAAGGACAGCGAGGAGAGGGCCTCCTACATCCTCATGGAAAAGATTAAACCTGAGCCTTTTGGAAATTGCCTGTTACGGCCTGGCAGCCCTGTCCAAGTTGTCCAGTGCATCTCAGAGCTAGGCATCTTTGGGGTCTATGTCAGGTAAGCCAGTCAAGAGGGTCTCCTCCTTGCCTGAGGGTCAGCCAGACAAGCCTGGAGGGAGCAAAGAACAGGGAGCAGGAATCTTGGGCTTTAGTCTCAACTCTGCTGATCCCTAGCCATGTTACCTGTTTCCTTATCTAATAAACAAAGCAAAGGACACAAGACCTGACCACCTCACAGAGCTATCAAATGAAGCCCAGATGAGGAGTGCTTTGCAACTATAAAGGAAATTCCAAGTAGTATCAAGATGGATGAGAAAGTAACTCTGGACTAGGAGGAGACCCCAGGGAAGAAGAGAATTTGGGTCCAGTTTCCAAGCTCCCAGGGACTCTGAGGAAAGGTGGGACAGGCCAGCTAGAGGATGATCAGTGTCTTTGAAAGGTTGAGTGGTCCCTGGGTGTGGATTTGAGCACTAAAGAATTAGGAAAAGAAGACTACTTGGGAATTGTTCCTGGTCGATTAAACCACTCCCTGCACTTCAAGATCAAGCAAGGTAGGAATACCAGATCCTACTATGCTCCCAACCATAGCCTTCTCTATATATAATATTTCCCTCTAACCACTCGCAGCATCTCTGCCTGCCACTTCCCCCTAAACCTATCACCATAGCCATCTTGAGATAGACAGACAAGGAAACTTACAGCTACAGAACATGAAATATGAGCCTGGCATCATACTAAGTGCTTTTCCTGCTTTATTTAATCCTCGTGACCATCTTGCAAAGTGAGAGGTATTATCTCTATTTTAAATTGAGGAAATTGATATTTAGAAAGGCCGAGTGACTTGCTCAAAATCACAGAGCTAGTAATTTCTTTCCCAGCAAGGATACAAACCCAAATCTGATTCTAAAATCCTAGCACTTCCTTGGGTATAGTCAGCCACTCATCCACTGCTCAGGTGAGACCAGGGAGGGTCTTGGGACTTTGTTGGTAATGAGCTGTGTCTCCTGCCCCTATTTCTATAGGCAGGGGAAGACACTTGTGATGAATAAGCATGTGGGACATCTGCTTCGAACCAAAGCCATCGAGCATGCAGATGGTGGTGTGGCAGCAGGAGTGGCAGTCCTGGACAACCCATACCCTGTGTGAGGGCACAGCCAGGCCTCGCCCAGACTTTGCTCAAGAGACCATCTCTCCTTCATACTTGTCATTCCTCTCCTAGCCCCTCTGAGGGGCTTCCCTCCCCGTACCTTGACAAGGCTGGTCTCTTCAGTTCACAGAAGGGTGAATGCTGAGTACCTTCCCCCAGCCCTCCCATCTAAGGACCAGAAAAGCTGTGTTTCCCTTAGGTGAGATCTAGAGGCCCCTAAATCCTCAGAGTGTGAGTATAGCTGAAAAGAAGCTGATTTGAGGTAATGGTCCATAACCCTGCCACCCTCCTGTCAGCCCCTCATTAGCTTTTCCAGCAGTTTCCAGTGTTTGACTTAGGATAGGACTGAGAGGTAGGAGGAGTGCAGTGACGGAGCATAGCCTTTCCCCACCTCTGCCTTAAATAAAATTACACTGCCGATTCTATGATTCCTTGGTTTATACATTTGGTGGGGGAGGAGCTATAATCTGGGTCAGCACATTTAAGGTGGATTAGAGCAGGGGAAATAACTTGGCTATAATCAGAGCCTCCATAGCTCCAGACCCTAGGATAGAACCCTGAAGTTCCAGTCCTTAGTGACTCACTAATGCTCCCACAGGATCATAGGAAACAATGCAACCGTGATGAGACATCACGGGTTAACTGGCTTCGGTTGCTTTCCTGCTTAATTCAGGAGCTTGCCAAAGTGCCTATGAGTGAAACCCTGCCTAGATCTGCCCAAACCAAAAGTTCTGGAAGGAGGATATTGGCGTATCCTGAGAAAAACCACTCGCCTCCCCGTCCCCCACACAAATCAGAGCAACTAGTAAGTATACAGTCTGTAAGATACTTAAGAAAATAAACCACTCGCCTCCCCGTCCCCCACACAAATCAGAGCAACTAGTAAGTATACAGTCTGTAAGATACTTAAGAAAATAAGTCACCGCCTTCTTAAAGTCACAGACTTTATTCCTACAACCACAGAGCCTGAGCATGACTATGGCAAGAAAAGAAGAGTTTCATCTGAGAGTGTCTCTTATGGGCATGATTGTTCATGGAAGGGTGGGAACAGAGGACAAGGAAGATAAGCTCTTCTGGCCTTGGAACAAAACATATTTATTCCAGCAAAGAAGCAGGTAATCTGAAAACCCTCTAGAAATAACCTGTCTCTACATCCCCTGAAGCAAGTGGGCAGACAAGCACTGCCATCTGGCACAAAAGGGAATTCAGATACAGAAAAGCAGCAGCAAAGTATTCAAAAAAATAATAATCAGTTGTTTTGAGACTCACAAACAGGAGTTTCTAAGGGCAAATGTATACCCAAGATAAATACTGGTGCTTCCTGAGAGAGCTGACAGGATTACAAAGCTGCCTCCCTGTTTCAGTCAACATTCACTTGCCCTCTGCATACTTAATTTGGGTAAGGGACGTGGCCTTCAAGTTCCTGTTCTGGGCTCCAAGGGCTCCTATAGTCTAGGGGCACAGCAACCTGAGGCTAACCTGTGCCACATCTCATCTATCTGGCAGCCAGAGGAAGTCACCTCCACCCAAGAGCAAAGCTGGTCCTCGGTCCCAGACAGCTGGTCAAGGGTGGCATGGGTCAGCACTGGCCCTCAGCACTCCTGGATAGGGGCAGGGAGAGTGGACAAAACTTTGGAAAGCCAAGCAGGGGAAGTCTGGGTAAAGGGTAAGGTCTTGTTTACTGGATGGTCAGGCAGCGATGGTTGAAGAGCTGGCAGATGACAGTTGGGTCAGCCACAGTAGATGTGTCCCCCAGGTCGTGGTCATTCTGAGCAATCTTCCGAAGCACCCGCCTCATGATTTTCCCTGGGGGACCACAGCCTTCTGGATACCTGGTAATAACACTGACCCACTCCAGCCCTGCCAAAAAGGCTTCCATCCACACACACTACACCACCAGTAGGCCTTGCCCAATCCCAAACCCAATCCCTTGAGGCCTCTGAGAACATACCTGAGCGGGTTTTAGGCAAGCCAGGTGCATTCTGGATATAATCCGGAGTGGCAATGGGGCCAATCTTTTCTCTAACTGTAACCAACAAATCATTAAGCATTTCTTCAGTACCCTTAACCAGGCTCCCAAAAACCAAGGTAGAGATGGCTTTGTTTCCCATCTATTTCCCTTTCAAGTCCCTGACCACAGAGTCATTCTTAGAGTCACTGCCTGTCTTTCTCTCTTTTTAACAGTGTCTTTTACTATCTCATTTTATCTTCATCTATTTTCATGGAACTCAAACTCTAAGAATCAGCCTGCTAGAGTTTAAATCCCACTTTACTACCAGTGTGGCCTTGGACAAGGGATTTAACTTCTCTGAACCTTAATTTCTTCATCTTTAGGATGAGAGTAACAATAGGATCTATTTCACAGCGTGATTATAGGGATTAAATGAATTAATGCATTTAAAGCACTTAGCCCAGTGGTGGCACAGAGAATTCTATAAATGTCAGCCATTAGTATCCTAGTAGAGAGACTAGTGGAGACTGAGTGGCAAAAGGACATTAAGCCCCTATGGTCCCCTGGGATCTGTTTGTAGTTTGCAGCTTGCTCTTGCCTCTCCCCACCAACTTGCTGTGGTAACTGGGCCATGAGGACAGACCCTATAGTCCCTGCTTAAGAAGGCTCCTCACTCTGCTTCTTGAGCTCCTCGGTGAGGGTGGGGCTGAAGGTGTAGCCATCGCACAGGGTGACAAAGCAGTAGAGGCATTCGCCCTTCACAGGATGAGGGTGGCCGACCACAGCTGCCTCTGCAATAGCCTCATGTTCCACAAGTGCTGATTCCACCTCTGCTGTGCTCAGCAGATGTCCTTATCAAGGGAAAGGAAGCGCCATCAGAGAGAGCCCAACCTCTACCCCAGCCCCTGTTCCATCTATGCCTATAGGGCAGTCCTAGGCTGGTCAAGTGGGGAAGCCCCTTCATTTATTCCTCACACGACCTGCTTCAGTTGTCCCACCCTCCCAGTTCGCCTCCTCTAGGCACATTCCAGTGTTTATCACTCTTCTTCCAAAACCTGTACCCAGAACCTAATGCCACACTCCAAGCATGGTTTGGCCAGACGACATCCTGGCTGTCTTGGAAGGCTTTGGCTGGGACTTTGCTGAGAGAGGATGCTGATAAGAAGGGAAAATGGTCCCTGGCCCTCACCCGATACATTTAGCATGTCATCAATCCTGCCAGTGATCCAGTAATAGCCATCCTGGTCCCGCCGGCAGCCTGGAAAGAGAAGAAATGTACAATATAATAAATATCCCACAGTAGGATATATGATCCACGTTACCAAACTGCTATACCCACTAATAGCCCCCTAATAAGTCTTCCTGCTTCTACACTTGCCCCTGTAGTAGCCAGGCTCCAAAACAGCTATGCTGATTTCCACTTTCTGATATGCAGACTCCTGTGTAGTTCTCTTTCTCATTGTACTAGGGTTAGTCTGTGTGATCAACAGAATTTGGCAGAAGTGACGGTATGTCATTTCTGAGATTACACTATAGAAAAGATACCATGGTTATTCTCTCAAATGATTTGCTCTGGGGGAAGTCAGCTGCCATATGTCATGAGTAGCTCTATGAAAAGGCCCACGTGGTGAAGAATTGAGGTGTCCTGCCAACAGCCACACGAGTGAGCTTGAAGTATGGCCTCCAGGCTCAGTCAAACCTTCAAATGACCACAGCCCCAACCAGCAGCTTCACTGAAGCCCATAAGAGACTCTAAATGAGAACTTCTGGCAAAGCCACTCACAAAGTCCTGATCCTCAGGAATTTTAATTTGTTGTTTTAAGCTGCCAGGTTTGGGGGTAATTTTTTCCATTGGCAATAGATAACTAATACACCCACCTAAAGTCTATTCTCCGTAAATCGAAGTTATTTTCCAAACAATAAATTTGTTCTTATCACTTCTCTACTTACAGGCCCTAAAGGTCTCCCGCACTGTACACCAGATAAAATCCAAAGTCCTTATCATGACCCACAAGGCCCCACATTATCTACCTCTCCAACTTAACGTAACATTCTTCCCTGTGTTCACTACATGTCAGCCACACAGGCTTCAGTCTGTTCCTCAGATATTTCAAGCTGGTGTCTGCACAGAACACTCACTCTTACTCCAGATTTTCCCATGCCTGGCCTCCTTACCCTGGAGGGCTCTGGTCAAATATCACTTCCAAGAAGCCGCCTCTCACCATCCCATGTATGGTGGCCATTCCTGCAGACATTCTTTATACTGTTACCCTGTGTATTTTTCTTAATAGCATTTGTCACTAAGGTAAGCTTATTTACTCATTTGCTGAATTTATTGTCTGTCTCCCCTACCAGACTATAAGCCCCATGCTTACCTTATTCATGACACTATCCCTTGAGTTTAGATCTGTGCCAGACATAGTTGGTGCTCAATAAATAGCTGTGGCTGAATGGTGGATAGAGTCATGGGCAAATACAGGTTCCAGACATCAGGATCCATATGACAGTAATTCACACTGCTACATGCCCATTTCTTTTAGCACAGGAACAATGGAAGCAAGAACCATCCTCATATATCAGGTGGTACCATGCTGAGACCCTCCATACAACACTCATTCCTGTTCTTATAGTCTTCTTTAAATCTCTACCTGGATATTAGTCACTGATACACAGAATATGTTCCTCTGTTTTTCTTCACCCCTAACCAATTCTTCCTAAAAACGGAAGGGGAAAGTAATGTCGAGATGGGAGATATGGGAAGGGGAGATAGCCAGGGCTCACCATCTCCTGTCACATAGTAACCAGGGAACTTCTTAAAGTAGGTCGCCTCAAAGCGTTCATGGTTCCCATAGACTGTGCGCATTATTCCTGGCCAGGGCTGCTTGAACACCTAGGGAGTGAGAGAGGCACAGTCATATCTGCTACACTGTCAAACTGGAAGACAATCACAGTTTTGCCCAACCTGAGGATAAATGGCCTGAATGCCCTTCCTGAGAAGTAGGACAAAGTACGGGCTTTGGAGATAGTCAATCCAGGTTAAGAATCCCAGCTCTGCCACTTACTAACTGTGTGACTTCAGGTTAGTAACTTTACCTTTCTAAGCTTCAGATACTCTTCTGTAAATCAGAGAAAATAATTTCAGCCTCTCAAAGTTACTTGTGAGGACTGAATTAATGGTATGTGGAAGTTGTCTAGTACAACGTTCTGTTAGTGATAAGCATTTAGTAAATTTGAGTCTCCTCAGGAAACCAAGTCCAGTGTGATACAAATGAAAATAATCAAATAAAAATGAATAAGTAATTATTGCCCCACTCAATAACATCCTGTGGCAGTAGATTGATGAGATGGATGAAATTCTAGGCTAAGAGTCAGAAAGCCTGGATTTAAGTCCTTATTATTAACTTGCTCCTAGTAAAAGTAAAGTGGGATGGAGGGCGGGGGCTGTACTTCCTACAAGTAATAGTACAAAAATCATAAGAGCTAACATTTGTTAAACACTGTTAGGTTCTGCCTTCACACAGATTATCTAATTTAATTGAGCCAGCAACTTGAGACACAGGTACTATAACCCTGTTTTACAAATGTAACTTAGGTTCAACGGGGTTAGGCAGCCTATCTGAGGTCACAGAAGAGGAGGAGCTAGGATTTAAATTCAAGCAGGCTGACTCTGGAGCCTATATGATTTTCTACTATGTTATGAAGACTCCTTTCACACTAGAATGTTTGTCAAAGGAAGAGTTAGCACTAAGTCTTCTGGACCCAAAAAGGCATCATCAGGAACCTTTGAGCAGAGCCCTTAAGAGCCAAAGTGGGCCAAAAGGCAGACAAGCAGGCTAAGTATCCAGAAGGATTTCCTCCAGGGTTTCGCAGAGGATAAACCCTCAACCATGGAGCTTTAGCCATAAGCACCTACCAGTGGAAATAAGGTTCTAAACTCTGAAGCAAAGTACAGCATCCCTTGTACTCTTTCCTCCCAACTCCTCAAAGACATCCAAGGGTCAGAGCCTCACCAGGTAACCTTCAGCTTCACCTTCCAACTCTTCCCCAGACTCATTCAAAATTGCAGGAGCTACACCAAAGAATGGAAAGGTCTAAAAGCAAACAGGAAACAGGACTTAAGGAGAAGAATGAGGCAACTGTGACTCAATTCTACCTCTCTCAAGGACCCCCAGAGCCCCAGGTTCTTCACACATATATTAGTCTAGTCCCCCACCCTCCACCTAGGCCCAGAGACTCTACTCCTGCCTAGCATAGGATCAGCCAAGGGTGCTTCACTCACAGCAGAACCAGGCTTCATTGGTGTGGCACCAGGGAGGGGAGTCAGCATATGTCCACCCTGTAGAAGTCAGATATTGGGGGTCTGAGTCAGTCTTCCTACACTGTCCCTGAGCCCCAGCCTTCTGAATCCTTTACTCACTGTCTCTGTCTGCCAGAAGGTGTCCACGATGGAACAGCGCTGAGCACCCACCACTCGGTGGTACCACAGCCAGGCCTCAGGGTTAATGGGTTCACCCACTGTGCCTAGCACCTGTAAGGATGCCCGGCTATGCCTTGGGCAGGGGAGTGGGGAGGAAGAAAGGCTCTGAGGACACTGAGAACCAGGAAGACATGCCCAGGCTCTTCTGCCCCCTCCCCTATTCTACGCCAAGGAGTTGGAACAATGGAATGGAAAAGTCTGTACACAAAGGCCAGCACCTAGCTCTGAAGGACACCCATGGGGCAGCACCTGGGAGGGGGTCTCACCTGGTAACAGGCTCATCTCCAAACTTCATAAGCAGGCGGATAGCTGTGGGTGCTGTGTAGAACTTGGTCACCTTGTACTTGTCCACGATGTTCCATAGGCGGCTCACATCCGGGTATGTGGGAATCCCCTCAAACTGACCCCAGTGAAGGCTAATCATTCCCAGTCCTTCCCAACAGTCCTTCAATTCCCTTACCATACCCTCAGGCTCAGTATTTTGCCCTTTTGGACATAGCCATGTCTTCATTCCCTTACAGATAAGCCAAGAGACCTCCTTCCTCAATATATACAACCCCCTCAGAACTCCTCTTTCCCCAGGGAACAGGTCATTGTGTAAGCCCCCTGTCTCTAGATCAAGTGGCCTTGGAAGACTGTCACCTAGGATCATCTCGTCCACCCCTAACTAGGCCAAGTAGCCATGAGTCCCAGCTCCCTTCTCACCAAAACACTGGTGGCACCATTGGCCAGTGGCCCATAGGTGATGTAGGAATGGCCGGTAATCCAGCCAATGTCTGCTGTGCACCAGAATACATCCTCCGCGTGGAAGTCAAACACGTACTTGAAGGTCGTAGCCACATAGAGCATGTAGCCCCCAACAGTGTGTACCACACCCTGGAGGAAGAATTCAACCTTGTGGGCCTTGGGCTCATTTCCACAGACCAACAAATGCATGCTGGGTAGAGCTAGAAGAAGATCCTCCTGAGATTCTGGCCCTGCCAGCACCCCTTTCATATAGTATCCATCTCTATTCTAACCCATTTTCTCCATGTTCCCATCTCACACACCATACACATGCATAGTCAGTCATCATTCATATCCACACCCTAAGATGGGCTACTTGAATCACTCTTATACACATGAACACTTCTAGAGCATTCACATCTAAGAATGTCTTTGTTGTATATTTATGCACACATAGTCAATTATACATTGACAGAGTGAGAGTGAGAAAAAAAAATAATCTTTGCTTAGTCTACCAATACCCCATCCCTTGGAAAGAGAGGCAAAAAATATGCTTCGAAAGCCTCACTGAGAGATATTCAAACATACAGAGAGTAGGAATTTAGGGATGATGTGAGTGGAAGATAGGGTGATATATCTTTTAAGTCAATACAGGAGTCAGAGTTTTGTTTCTGGCCCCCACACTGTGCCCTGGGAAGAATGAAATGTTAGTAGTGTGGCTTGTGGAAGGAACTGAACTCTAAGAGTTTCTAGCCTAGGGCCCCAAGAAGGGTCCTAGCCTACCCCTGGCCTTGAGTTCACAGTGCAGCTCTCCTTCAATCAAACCACGTGGGCATGGGCAAGAACACTGAAGTTAGACATATGAACTGATCCTTTTTTCCTTTTCTGGGGTGTGAAAGCCCCCACCCGAATTGTCTCACCCTGAGCCTCACAATTTAGTGGCTGAGGATTTATGTCTTAATTTTATTTAGAAAAGGTAATGTGACAGTTCTGAAACTCAGGATTATTAAGTAAAAGTCATATCATCATATGCTTTCTCAGAAATTCACTTCTTAACCCTAACAGTATACACACACACACACTTGCCTTGGGTTTCCCTGTGGAGCCACTGGTGTACAGGATGAAGAGTGGGTCCTCTGCATCACACCACTCAGGCTCACACTCATCCTCTGCCTCTTGCATGAGTTCATGCCACCACAAATCAACTCCTTGATTCCAGGAGATCTGCAGGGTTAAGAAGACAGGAATGGGCAGGAAAGAACTGTGAACAGCTCAAGAGAGGAACAGAGACACACCTACCTGACACCTGGGGTTGGGGGAAGTGCTGTCAGGTAGAGTTGCTGGGAGGAGGGAGGGAAATGTGAGGGTGGAATGTGACAGAGAACAGGAGTAGAACAGCAGGCTTCTTGGGTTAGCTTCAGAACAGCTAACACCCTGCTCCAGAGCATCCCTTACATAGCCTCAGTATGAGGATGGCACCTTGGTTGGTCCCTTATCATTCTTCAGTTCTTAGCTTAAATGTCACCTTTGTAGAGGGCTTTCCCTGAACAATATCTGGTAGATTCCCAGCCCCACCCTACCCCCTGCTATTATTCTTGATCACTGTACCATATTTCCTTCCCATACAGCACATATTTCCAGTTATTTAGTTGTTTGCTTCACTACTGTCTCCTCAACTAGATAGTGACCTCTATGAGTGCAGTGCATGTCTGTCTTTTTCTTTTTTTTTTTCTTTTTTTTTTTATCCCCAACACCTAGCAAAATGCCTGGCACTTAATACACACCCTGTAAATTTTTGTTGGGTGAATGAATACACACACACAGGCCTACATACAAACATATGTGCTTAGGAAGCTAGTGGCTTATCAGCAGGGATGCGGACACCACCCAATTCAGAAATGCAAAATTAGTCAGAGCCTGCAGGTGAAGCGGGCACCTGGCCCAGTTAGTATTGAAAATAGTCAACAGCTTTTAATCCAAGCACCTTTTCCTGAATGTCTAGACCTCATCCACATCTGCAGGTTCCTACCCTAGCTCCACCCCCACTTTCACACTACTGGCAACCAATAGGTTTCCTATAGAGATATTTGCTTAAGGCTCCATTCAGCAGAAAACCTACTTTAAGTTGGTGGAAAAGGACCAATACGACTTCTTCTCCCAGTAGAAGGATGTCCTCCTATACTAGAGTATTTTTGATTACTACTTCTGGATCTGTCCTCCTGAAATTTTTCTAACCTCTCCTTGAAGTTATTTTACTTTCCTATTTTTTTAATAATAAATTTATTTTTTATTGGTGTTCAATTTGCCAACATACAGAATAACACCCAATGCTCATCCCGTCAAGTGCCCCCCTCAGTGACCGTCACCCATTCACCCCCACCCCCCGCCCTCCTCCCCTTCCACCACCCCTAGTTCGTTTCCCAGAGTTAGGAGTCTTTATGTTACTTTCCTAGTTATATCACCTCTTTGAACAGCCAGTTTTCAGAGTCTACTCTGTGCTGAGGGAAGGTGGGATTCTCTGAACTTGTCCAAAAATTGCACTGGATCTCAGTCCCAGTTTGGCCACTTCCTAGCTATATATGACCTTGGGCAAGTCACTTTACCTCAAGTTGGTCCTTTTTAAAATGAGGATAGTCATTCTTTCCTTAATGGTCTCACAGGATTTGGGGAACATCAAAAGAAAAGGGATTACATAGTAAATATCATAACTTGAATTGTCCTGGTGGGGTGGGAAAGAATGATGTCAGGAGGATAGAAGTGAGTTCAGTTCCACTAAACTCCTCTGGGAAATAAATTCAAGGGTGTAAAAATAGGAACTGTTTTGGGTTTGCTTTAGCCATCACAAAGTCCTTTCATATTCATTAGTTTCTTGTATGTTCAATGGCCCTGGCTGGCAGGTAGACATGATAATGTAAGAGAAACACCCTACTCCCTATTCCCATTATATGGCTATATGCTAAATTATTCTGTATATATTTGGTTGCAAAAAACGAAATCCCAAAGTGTTAAACATATACCTTGATAAATTATAAAATGACTCCAATCACTCTCTTCTTTCTGTACTATCTACCCCTTAATTTAGAGAATTTGAAGTGTCTGTCACATAAACATTATTAAGAATGACAAACCCAGGGGAGCCTGGGTGGCTAAGTCAGTTAAGGGTCAGACTCTTGGTTTTGGCTCAGATCATGATCTCATGGGTCATGGGATCAATATTGAGCCCCACATCAGGCTCAGCGTGGAGCCTGCTCCAAGATTCTCTTCCTTTGCTACTCTTCCTACTCACAGGCTCTCTCTTTCCCTCTCGTTCTCAAATAAATAAAAAAATCTTAAAAAAAAAGAAAAGAAAAAAAGAATGACAAGTCCAGACCGAGGCACCATTAAAAAGAAGAAGAAAAAGAAAGAGAGAAGGAGGTTGCCCAAGAGCTAAAAAATACTAAAACACACTTTTTTTTTTAGCAGAATAGACATATGGATCTATACATACATTGACACATCAATACTTTTTTTCCTGCCAAATGATCTACTTGAGGGCCTTAATGTATTTAAAAAGAGTATCAATATTGCTTTGGGGAAATGGTCCTCAGTACTGATTTGAATTGTCATAGAAAAGGCACTAGGGGGATCCCTGGGTGGCGCAGTGGTTTAGCGCCGGTCTTTGGCCCAGGGCACGATCCTGGAGACCCGGGATGGAATCCCACGTCAGGCTCCCAGTGCATGGAGCCTGCTTCTCCCTCTGCCTGTGTCTCTGCCTCTCTCTCTCTCTCTCTGTGACTGTCATAAATAAATAAAAAAAAAATTAAAAAAAAAGAAAAGGCACTAGGTACATATAAGGGCAAAGCATAGTTATGCTGTGGCAATAAGGGTATTCTCGTAATCTTAAAAAACTATTTCCCTTGTGGGTATGTGGGCGAGAAGGGCCAGTACCCCAGGTGTGGAACTGATAACTAGCACCAGGAAGCAGGGTGAGCTCAATTAACGGTGCAAACATTAGTTATGAATTGGGTGTGTGTCTATGAGGGCCCCACAGCTTTGAACCAGGAAGATTTAATTTACTGAAATAAGGATAGAGTTGGTCTTTGTCCTTGGACCAGGATATCCTCAGGGAGGGCAACTGCCAGGTGTGAGATCAGAATATGAGGAAGCCCATAGGTGACATGATTGAGGAGAGTACCTCCAAATTGTGCCAGGCCTTCCCTTGATGAATGCTTAAGGATGATGGGATGCGGAGCTCTCCCAAGACTTCTGCAGTTTTGACTGCAATTATCAGACCAATAAACCTGGACTTTGTAAGCCTATTCCTATGGTCTTTGGTTTTTTGGTAACTGATTATTTTTACCTCCAAGAAACAAAAATCCAGAAGCCTGTGGCCTAAAGGTTTCTAGTATTAAGAACTATAGGAGTTTGGGACACCTGGGTGGCTCAGCATTTGAGTGTCTGCCTTCTGCTCAGGGCGTGATCCTGGAGTTCCAGGATTGAGTCCCACATCGGGTTCCACATGTGGAGCCTGCTTCTCCCTCTCCCTGTGTCTCTCCCTCTGTGTGTGTGTGTGTGTGTCTCATAAATGATAAATAAAATCTTAAAAAAAAAGAATTATGGGAGTTTATTTCTTTTCTGGTTTCCCTTTTAGAAATGCCAGGCTGTCTGCTATGTTAAAAGAAATAAAAGCTAACATTAATAGGGTAGTTACTTTGTACCAAATACCTTATAGACAAAACCCTATCAGGTAGGTACAGTTATTATCCTTTTTCTACAGATGGGGAAACTGAGGCAAGAGAACTTAAGTAGTTGGTCCAAGCTTCTACAGTAGCATTTGAAAAGCTAGGATTTGAACCCAAGTAGTCTGGCTCCAGAGTCTATATTCTAACCACTGAGTTTGTTATGTTACATCTTTCAAGAGTACTGTCTTAGGTCTCTGCCTGACTTAAAAGGAAAGTAATGTTCCCTGGGAATCAAATCTGTCTCCACCATCTATGAGAACAGAGAAAAAAGATAATATTTACTGAAGAGGTTAATCATAGAAGATTCAGAGTAAGACACCCTTATGAGGATGGCAAAAATCAGAGGAATAATAGGTTTTATGTTGTTTTAATAAAGGAAGTAGTTTTCTTTTAAGCATGTATTATCATCTCTCCATTGTTGATAAGGAAACTGAAACTCAGAGAGGAGAAGCGACTTGTTCAAGGACATACAGCTAAAAATCTGTCTCTGGACTCCAAGCCCAGCCTTTCTCTATTCTAATCTGCTTTGAGCCCCCACTTAAGAATCTCACATCTTAGAACCACCTACAAAGTAATTTTTATTCAACCTAGCATTTAATTATATCGGAGAGTTTATGTGCAGTTTATAAATCCCAAAGTAATATATAAATGTATTTAGGGATCTTCTTCTCTATTGTCCTACATAAAATTGAGGTTTTCATTTGTGATATATATCTAAGTCCCCAACTTGATGGTGAATTCTCAAGGTCAAGTTCTGTACCTCCTCCACTCACTCTACTCTTATCTCCTAGGGCTCTGCTCCAGCTAAGTACACAGTAAAAACTTTCTGACAAGTTACTTAGTCCTCTCTCCCACAAAGGTCAACAGCAGAGTGCAATGGGATGCCTTGTTGCTAGATCTCTGAGGTTCATGCTCTATGCCAGTTCAGAGAGATAGCAACAGGCATTTTGTTTCATGACCCTTCAGAGTAACTTAGATGGCAAAGGACCCAGGGGCAGAAAGAAAGGGGTTAGGTCTGGCAGCCACCTCAATGGGGAAAACAGGCAAAGAGCAGATGGAAACACAGACAAGCACGCAGAGAAGCAGTACCCAAGGCAGTGCAAAGGTGGATACCTGGGGCCAGATGCGCTTGGGTTTCTCTTTCAGCTTACCCTGTTAAGAGCCCATGGAAAGGGTGGTGAGCAGGGTCTGATTATAGGGGAGTAAGAGGGAAGGGTCAGTGTGTCCCAAGCCTCTGCTGCCTTTTCTGTAGGCTCCCCTCTTACTGGTCCTCCTAGCCTACATTTTCTTGATCTTGTTCCCAATCTCTATACACTTAGAACCCCTAATGCTCACTGGAATCTCCAATCTCCCTAGGCTAGACTACAGTCTCTCTAGCCCTGTGACCACTTGGGGCCCCCTCAAGTCACAGAATCTCAGGAACCCTTTTCCTTCTGGACCCTGGAGCTTTCATCCTTCATGGCCCTCAGACCTTTGGGCTTTTCCACCATTTTCACTAAAAGTGCTGGATCCAAAGCTAATAAGGGCTATATCTTGAGGGCCAAATCCTGGTCCTTCCATGGGGGGGAGACCACAAAAGTAGCCCATTCCAAGACAGATACCAGTACACATAGTCACCCAAATCATCCCCTCCCTCCCTCCCTCCCTTTCTTTTTTTTTTTTTCTTTCTTTTTTTAAGATTGAAGATAGTTGATTAAGTCAGCCCATTTCTAACCCAAGCCCAAGCCCTGAGGGTCCCCTGTGCCCATCAGGATACCCCAATCAGCATAGAGTCCCCTTACAGTCTCTCATGCTAGGTTCCCAAGGATGAGGAGCTCCCTATTGACACTCGAGGTCAAAGTCCCCCAGCTCCCTACCAGCCCTGCCAGAGGAGGCATTCCTAGGATTGCTCCCAGATGCTCTCAACATTATGATAAGGAAACGAAGCACATAAAGAACTTCCTGGGCCAATTTCAACCCGGAGGAAAGCATAGGAGTACCAGACTCACCTGCACATCTGGGCATGGCCTCTTAATAGGGGGGGATTGGCTGGGAGAGTCACCTGTGCCCAGCTCTGCCCGCCCCAGGTGCTTGACCACAATGCAGCATCTCACTCGGAAACCCCTAGAAGAAGGAGAAACCTGAAATGGTAGCTGGTTGGCTCAGAGAGAATTTGGCAGGACCCACCCATGTCCATCTAGGATAGAAGGGACAAAGGGAATCTGGTACAGGGGAAAAAACCAGTTAACCCAGAGCAGTAGCCAACCAACCAAACACACTTACTTCTCCCGACACTTCTCCAGCGCCTCATCAGCCAGTTCCTTCAGGTTCACAAGCTTTTCCCCCCTGTAGAAGGCATCTTTGGGGAGCAATAAACATTCCAGGCCTTAGGAAGGCACCACACTCCTAGTCCCTTATCCCTAGTGAGCACAGTGTTCATGGAGCCCTTCCTGAGGTAGGTCTCTTGACTCTGGCTCTTCCAATTGATTTGAGCTGACAGAGGGTCAGGTGAGATGGAATCAGGAGATAAGTGTAGGCAGTCCCTACCCTGTATGCTGAGCAGTCGCAAATATCAACTAGCTGATTAGAGACCAAAACTTCAGGTGTGGAAATTCTGGAAAAGGGGTGAGAGAATTAGTCACCTGTAGTAATAAGAAGGCTGCAACTGGAATCCAGGATCCGTTCACATAGAGACTCTGCAGAGAAGCCTGCAAACTAGGAAAAGGAAGAAAAACTGAGGGAGAGGAGGACCTAGGAATTAAATAAACCAGGAAAGGAGACATTCATAAAACCTTCAGGATTTCTAGGTTATGGTTCTAGAAGAACCTGGATAACTGATATGGAACTTATGACACAAATCTAAACTTCTTAGTCTGGTTCTTAAGGTCCTCTAGCATCCAGGCCCAACCTACTTCTCCAGAGCCCCATCCCTTCCCATCCCCTACTAGGTATCTTTTTCCAGTCCAAATTCCTACCACAATAGAGTGCAGAGCCCCAAGGCGGGCACAGGCCAACATGGCCACCACGAGTTCTGGTATCATGGGCATGTAGATGGCCACTCGGTCACCCTTCCGAATGCCTGCAAATAAAGGACACAGATCATGCACCATGGACACTTCCTGCTGCTACCTGCTTCTTCTTGTTCAGCTACTGCCCTTCCTCCCCACAGCTGACCCTATTACTACATTCCATCCATTCCTTGTCTACTTCCCCCAAGTCCTCAAATACCCCAAGACAGGACCCTCCAGCCCCCTTCTCATACCCCCATACTCACCCTGTTTTTGGAGAACATTGCTGAATCGACACACTTGGACCAGAAGCTCACGATATGTGATCTGGGTGGTCTCCTCTGGTTCATTGCCCTCCCTGAGATACATCAGAAAGAATTAGCCATTAGGGAATATAACCTCTTCCCCCAAACAAAAATAGGAACAGTCATCATATCCATTCAGGAACACCAAGACTCCTTATGAATGTCCTGTGAGGGTGAGCTGTCTACCATAACACCTTGAGCTGACTGGTCAGACACTTTGGCCTTTTAAGGCATACTTTATACACAAGCTGTGTGTCATTGGAAAATGCACTGTCCATCTGTGAGCCTCATTTAGGTTGGTAAAATGGGATGATGGTCCTTTCTCTTCCATCCTAGGGATGTATTAAAAGAGAGGGCAGCCTGGGTGGCTCAGCAGTTTAGTGCTTGCCTTCAGCCCAGGGCGTGATCCTGGAGATCCGGGATCGAGTCCCGCGTCGGGCTCTTTGCATGGAGCCTGCTTCTCCCTCTGCTTGTGTCTCTACCCTCTCTGGGTGTCTCTCATGAATAAATAAATAAAATCTTAAAAAAAAGATGATATTACAGATGTGATTCTTCTGGAGCACAGTGTCAAGACTGCATTGGTGTTATTCAAAGTGAGATTTCCAGATCACTTGTACCTAAGGGAACTTCTAAAAAGACAGAGCCCCAATTCAGACCTACTGAATCAAAATCACAGCATCCACGAATCTGCCTCTTTATTACAAGCTATAAAGATTCAAGTATAGGGGATCCCTGGGTGGCTCAGCGGTTTAGCGCCTGCCTTCGGCCCAGGGCGTGATCCTGGAGTCCTGGAATCGAGTCTCACATCAAGCTCCCTGCATGGAGCCTGCTTCTCCCTCTGCCTGTGTCTCTGCCCCTCTCTCCCTCTCTCTCTCTCTCATGAATAAATAAAATCTTAAAAAAAGATTCAAGTATAAAGATTATACTTGTATAATATATACACAAGTATATATACAAATATACACAAGTATAACGATTCAGCTGCCGATTCTTTTTCTTTTTTTTTTTAAGATTTATTTATCTATTTGAGAGAGAGAGAGATCATGAGCAGGAGGGGTAGAGGAAGAAATAATCTCAAGCTGACTCTGCTCAGTGTGGAGCTGACATGGCTTTATCTCATGACCCCAAGGTCACAACGTGAGCCAAAACCAAGAGTCGGATGCTCAACTGACTGCGCGTTCCAGGCACACCTCTGATACACATTTAAAGTTTCAGGGGCAACTGACTGGCTCAGTTGGTTAAGCTTCTGACTCTTGATTTCAGCTCAGGTCATAATCTCAAGGTTATGAGACTGAGCCCCATGTCAAGCTCCATGCTGGGTGGGGAGCCTGCTTAAGATTCTCTCTTGCCCTCTCCCTCTGCCCCTTGCTCTTCCTTCTAAAAAAAATAAAAAATAAAGTTCAGAATCACTACACTTTATCAACTGAGTTCTGTCTACCTCTTCAGCCTCACCTCCCATTCCTTCCTAGGCTTCAGCCTAGTTTCCTTCATGTTTGCTTCCTCGACAACTACTATGTGCTGTATATATGTATAGAAATAAGGCACTGATAAGCAAGATCCTTGATAACATGGAGCTTATATTCCAATGACAATGCAAAAAGTATATAAGTAACACAGCCAAATAATTTCAGATCATAAGCATTATGAAGGATATAAAGAATGATATAATGAATGACTGATTGGAAATACTTTTGAAAAAAATATCTTAAGGAACTTTCAAGACTATATGTGAAGATTTAATGACCCCCAGCGTGTTTTTTCAATTTTATGATTTTTTAAAGTAATACATATATACAAATGGTACCACAAAAAAAGATATGTAATGAAAAGTATCCCTCCCACCCCTATTCCCTAACCCCATGCCTTGATTGGCAACCACTGTTGGTACTATGTTGTGTAATTTTCCAGAAATAGTCAATATGCTGACAGGACCACCCCTAATAGGTTAGAGACTGCAGGGCAACTGAACTAATGTGGAGTGACCAAGGTAATTACTTTAGAAGACTATACAATTAGAATCTTTCATAAGATCCTTCAGATATCACTGAAGATGGAAATTTGAAAACTGAATTAAAAATTTTGAATTTTAATACTGTTCAGAGAGAGATAAGTGCCTCAGTCCCTAACCAAGCATGGATGGGAAGAGGTAGGAAACAGCTGGTTTTTTTTTTAATTTTTTTTATTTATTTATGATAGTCACACAGAGAGAGAGAGAGAGAGAGGCAGAGACATAGGCAGATGGAGAAGCAGGCTCCATGCACCGGGAGCCCGATGTGGGATTCGATCCCGGGCCTCCAGGATCGCGCCCCGGGCCAAAGGCAGGCGCTAAACCACTGCGCCACCCAGGGATCCCGGAAACAGCTGTTTTAACCATGGGACAGACCTATTATATAAGCATTATATATATGTATTTATTTATATATTTGTTTTTTCTATACAAATGATGGTATACAGTATACACTATTCTGTATTGTGTTTTTTGAGTATAATATACATCCAATAAACTACATGAATCTTAAGTATACAGCTCATCTTGCTTTTTTAAAAATTCAACAATATACCTTGATAAAATTCTCCATCAAGACTTAAAGTACTGTTCATTTTCTTAAAAATTTTTATTTATTTATTTATTCATGAGAGACACAGAGAGAGAGGCAGAGACACCGGCAGAGGGAGAAGTAGGTTCCCCACAGGGAGGCCTGATCAGGGACTCAATCCCAGGACTCCAGGATCACACCCTGAGCCAAAGGCAGACGCTTTAACTGCTGACCAACCAGGCGTCCCAGTACTGTTCATTTTCTTTGTCATCTGCATAATGTTCCACAGTTTGTATGTGCCATAGTTTATCTAACAAATAAATGCTTCAATGAATATCTTTATTCAAATGTCATTTTACTCACTTGCAAATATATCTGTAGAATGAATTATTAGAAATGAAATTGTTGGAAGAAAAAGAAATTGTTGGGTCAAAGGAAATCTGCATTTTAAATATTGATAAACATTAGAGGACAACTACTTTAAATAATGGTCATAGAAGGCCTCCCTCCGGGGAAGTGATACTGAGCTAAAAGACCCAAGTAATGAGAAGTAGTCAACTATATGAATTCTTGAGAAGAGTATCCTGGGCAGAGAGAACATCAAAATTTGGGAAGGCACTCAGGCAGTAAAGAGCTTGGCCTATTCAAAGAACAGTAAGGAAGCTAGAATGAAGAAAGTTAAGAATGAGAGTTAGGCAGCAGCCAGATCACATGGGGCCTTGTAGGCAATGGTAAAAAGTTTGAATTTTATTTTAACTAGGTTCCTCCTGGCTTCCTACACACAAAAGCTGACCTCTATGCTTTTGATGATGCCATTGCACCTGCTCAGAATGCCTTCCCCTTTCCTTCTGGCACCAGTACCAGCCCATCCTAAATACTGCAGGCCATTGAGCTCCCTTACTACCCAGAGTATTTAAGGAGATAACTAAAGCCCAGAGAGATGTAGTAGCTTGGCCAAGGTCAAACAATAATAAGTGGCAGAGCCAAGAATAGATCCTCAAGTCTTCTCATTTCAAGGCGGGACTCTTTTGCCTCATCATGTGAAGGACAGGGACAAGCAGGGAAATTAGGCCTTGGAGGTTACACAGAAGATTACACAGAAAGAAGCCTCTTTCCAGCTCCTGGCTTGATGAGTCAGTTACTATCCTTTCCTTGGCTTGGCCCTCCTAGGGCTTAGAGGAGCCAAGCACAGAGAGCTCTCTAAAGTGAGAAGGAACACAGAGAAAGGAAGCTGGCAAGTGGCCCTGAATACCAGAGGCAAAAAGCCATTTCCTTAACTAGCCCACTGGTGAGTGCCACAGAAACTTCAGAACATCTCCAGTTATGGCTAAATGCCAACATATACCACACACCCATGCAAAAATGTCCCCACATGTGTGCCACATACCAGCTCACCTGTGCATACTTACATGTGCAAAATGACATATGCTAATATACAAAACATTGTAGGCATAAAAGCTGCCCATTTGCACACAGAGGTACAAATAAGGAGAAATATATGAACCCAGGACTCAAACATGGACCTATCTACAAGTATATGCACCACATTTACATACCCACCTATGTGCACAGCTTGCCCTTCCCCAAACTCCAGCAGATCATTGTTTTATTTTCTTCACATAACTTTCCATTATTTGAAATTATCTCGTGTATTTTATTTGCTTGTATATTACCTGTGTCTTTCATTGGAATATAAGCTCCACAGTAACAGAGAACTTGTCTGTTTTGTTCATTACTACATCCCTCGAATCTAGAATAGAGTCTGGTACATAGAAAGTACACAGGAACAGATAAGCACAAACCTACACAAGAACTGCCTACTTGAGCCCACTTCTAGTTATACACACATTCACACACACCCACAGTGTACATGTCTCTCCAAGTTCTGGGCTCAAGCTATGCATAATTGATATAGGCATCTTACTTCTTCCAGTGTCTTCTTTCTCTGATATATACACCAGGTTCGGCCCCTGCCTCATTAGGAGGAGGAGGTGAATAGAATACTGGCCTACTGCAAGCTCCCAAGCCCTCTAGGATGTTACGAATTCTTAAAAGAACATTCAGTTTAGTCTCCTAACTCCAAAAGGATCCAAAGAGACCATTTAATGTGCTCGAAGTCACATGGTGAGTTTGGCACGGAAGACCTCACTTTCCTTGTGATCTATTGATACTACCTTGTATTACATTTATTGGGGCTTTATATTTCCCATTACATCTCGGGTTCTTGGAGGGCAGGGATCATGTCTTTTTCTTCTCAATTTCCTCCAAGTTCAGCTGGCACAATAAATATTTAAGGTTCATCACTGAATTGCAGAAAACCTGGTAATTGATTAATGATAGGGAAGACTGGGACTCCCCTCTTTATATGAGGGACAGTCATTGAATTGAAGATTTTAATTCCCTAGACTAACAGAAAAGTAAGGTACAGGATTGGAGGAAAGAGCTGGGGGGGGGGGATAGGTGGGAAAAAAACTAGATTCTTCACAGAAACAGAGGGCAAGATCTAAACTGGTGGG